GAAAGAGTTGAATCTCTGACAATTGACAATACTAGAAGTTTTCACTACAGATGTAAAAGTTTGAATTTTCACATTCTTATTAGCTATTATGTCTTTATAATCTTATTCAAAATAAATGATAAAATATTTCATTATTATTGTCCATTCCATGATTATATTTAATATCAATGCCTCATTAAATTCACTTTTTCATGCTTCATATATGTTCCCAACTTAAAAAAAAAATAACCAAACCTTAACTTTTGCCTATACTTGTGTTATTTTTATCCTTTTTATTATTTACACTTTATTATGTGTGCTTTTTTCTTATTTTAAATATCTTTTAGAGGGTACATCTACAGATCCTCAGATGTAATGTGCTGTCTCAGGGATRTACCATTTCTTGCAGTGTAGACATCAAACAGATTTTACACCTTTGGCTCAGAGACATTTCACAACACTTCCATTCTTAGTTTCAACTATTAATTTCAGTTTATAAAATAATTTCCTGGTTTTTAATGATGATGTGTTCTACTGTTATATGTTATGATCAGTTTTTCTATAGCGTCTTAATTATTCATCAGAACAAGGCTATTGTACTGTTATTTCTTCTCACTGCTGGATAAAGAATCTGCTAATTAGCACAGCCAGAAYACAAGGTCATTAGTCCTTACTAATTAGTTTTTACTATCCAAACTACTCTGAACAGCTAAATTCTCTCATAAATAACAGCATTCTGTAATATTTATCAACAATTAGAAAGGCCTTTCTCAGCATCCAAATTGATCCAGGTAATCAGCAACTGACTTCTAGTTTGACTTCCAGCTTTTTAAATTGCCCTTTTCCAAATTTACATGGAACCCAAGGTTCCAAACACTGGTTTTGCATTTCCTGATACGTTGTGACATCATCAGAATGTTATGACACCCAATTTTTTACTTTTGTTTTGTCTTTCCTGTGTAGCTCAAACTTTGTCTAGCCATACTTGTAACAGAAAGCCAGCTTGAGCACCACTGTTATCAATACAGTCTTTTTCATCTTCTTGCCTTTTCATCTTCACACTCTTAATTCCTTCTCCACTGCTATATTTATGATTTGCCCAGTTTTATTTTCCARTGGATTAGTCATGTACAGAGATTCCCATGGTTTTCCCTGATAATGAAAGCTTGTATTCATAATCTCGGAATTCTTGGCACCTCAGTATTTAAGTGGAATGTAGTCACTAGTAAAAAGGAATGCATAAATGCTTATAACAAGCAGTACTAAAATTATTTTTGTTCATTGCTTTATTTTCAATGTCTAATGCCTTTAAGATTTTGTTTTAGTTTTTTTGTAGACAAAAATCATCTGTACCTGCACTGAATTTCAGTGCTGTTTCAGTATGTTCTAGCATGAATCTGATACTTTATTTTCCTGACAGAAAACATGGTCAGAAGATTTCTCTCTGYTCTGTTCTTGATCCTTTTCAGCCTCAGGCCTGCACACTGCAGCCTTTCTCCCAGCAGGTAGCCTAATTTGCCGTGTTCTCCATGTACTCAGTTGTCTCTTTCTGTTATGAAAGTTTTCCTTCATGTGAGGTTCAGGTTAGTCCTTCCCTGGTGCTGGAAATGTCTACTGTCTCCTTTTGTTCTGCTTTCCTATTTAAGTAACTGTGCATCCTTTTTCTATCCTGCATCTTCTGAGCATCATCCTCATTCCCTCCTCAGAACTTCCTCTTGGCTGTCACTATCCCTTTTTACATCACTAAATCTGACTTCTATTTTTCTTCTTTTCTCCTTGATAACTTGCTTTTTTTCCTTTCCTAAGGTGTCCAGGAAAGGCTTCTCCTTCAAACTTTCTGACTGGATACTTTGCTCACTTTTCCAGAGAGTCACACACATAYTTGCTTTTTTCCTCCATGGGTTATCTGTCTAGTTTTGTACTGTGTCCAGCTCTGGGGTCCTGAGGACATGAAAGATTTCTATTAAAGCAGGTGCAGAGGAGGTGCACAGAGTTGATCAGAAGGCTGGAGCACCTTTTCTATGAAGATAAACTGAGAGAGCTGAGGTAGTTCAGCCCAGARAAGAAAAGGCCCTGGTGGGACTCTCTGGTAGTCTTCCAATACTTACAGGAAGTTTATAAAAAGGGAAGAGCTCCTTTAGACAGGCAGATAGTAACAGGACAAGGGGGAATGGATTTAAACTAAAAGAGGTGAGATTTAGATTAGTTGTTAGAAAGAAATTAATTACTGTGCGGGTGGTGAGACACCAACACAGGTTGCCCAGAGAAGCTGTGGATGCCCCATCCCTGAAAATGTTCAAGTCCCGGTTGGATGGGGCTTTGAGCAGCCTGGTCTAGTGGAAGTTTCTCTGCCCATGGCAGAGTGTGTTAAAGCTTGATGATATTTAAGGTCCCCTCCATCCCAAATAATTCTATGATTTTATTATACGGTCTGACTTAATAGAAGTAAAATTATTAGCCACTCTATTTACTTCTGAAAAAGTGCTCAGTATTTTGGGCAAATTTTCTGGGTCTTTTTACTCTGAAGGCAATGTTTTAAGCCTTTTGCCTCCAGAAAAAAGGTCAGAATCACTCTATGTAAAAAAGGTCTTCAGTCAGAATCACTTTATGTAATCAGAGGGCAATCTGTAGTGTTCACTGAGAGAACACCTTACTCAATACCACTTGCCAAGCTGCTTAAGAACAACTCAGACCCACCACAAAAAGGCTCTGAATGTGAATCAGAAAGCTGTCACAGTCATACAGTAACAGGAGATGCATTAATTCTTAATAAATATGAGATTTCTTCGGGGTTTAAAACCTGTTCTGTGAAAACTGTRTTTTTTCCAGTGTACTTAGCAGARGCAACATGTTTTAGGCTTCCTTAGRCAAACTTGTYRCTACATTAAATAATTGTAGATCMATTTGTAGATGTGRRAAAACATGTAATATGKAACATAAACCCTTAATTTTTAAAAATTTTATCTTATTGCTTTTCCTAGATGCTTGTTGAACAGTGAATTGAATGTGTGATGAAAAGCAAGTAAGGTAGGGGTTTGCTGGATTAGCACTAGGACCATAATATATTGTACTGTCAATCGGTGTTTAATATCTACTCTTCAATAGAAATCCTTGAAAAATTGTGCCTTCAGTGGTTTAGCTCCTTAAGCAAGACAGTCCATACCTCTTTCAAAAGCAGTTCCCCAATTTAATAGCAAACTACAATGTCTATTGTCCTCAATCTTCATATTGCCAAGAATMTAGCTGTAATAAACTGTTTCATTWCTCCTTTAAATTCTCAGTATATTACCTTGGGTTTTTCTGGAGAAAAGCTTTTTATAAATTAATTTTTCACTGCGATGTCACAGCGTCCCATATTTTCCCTGAAATATAAGTCTTGTAAAATATTTAGGCCCATAGAATTCCTCTTACAAAAGACAAGTCTAATGTACTGACACACACACAGACTGAATTAACAAAGCTATAATGGATAGGTAGCTTAAAGTTATTGAATTAAAATCAGAGAAGTTGGTTTMTAGAGAAATTTAATTTTAATAATTCTACTAAGATCATTTGTAAAGTTCATATTTTAAAAGAACTGATAGAAAAAAGATTTAGTTATTACTAATTATTCCATTTCCACTCTTGTCCAAATAACAAGCTAAGGTATAAGAGGATACATTATTACAATTCAGAATTCAGCTTCTGTTAAAACATCTTTTGCTACTAAAAAAAAWTTAAGTAAAGGGTTTGTCTCCCTTCCTTTGCAAAACTTTATTTGCAATGAACTTTATGATTAGAGTATGAAATTATTAAAAAATAGAAACATCACTATTGGTCTCATAGTATCAGTTTTCATTGAGGAACAGGGAAATCAACTGTACAATTTTCAAGTTGTACTGGTCAATTTTTGCATTTTAAAATGTAATTGTTTTTATAAAAATATGAGTACTTGGTAATGTTGATTCAAAAAGTGGAAAAAAACCAAATTACTGGAACAGTTTTTATCAAAAACAACATCTCCAACTTCTGCAATTACTCTGAGAAAGCAGTAGTAGATGGTGTCTGCTACACCATGGTTACAAAATGACACATTTATTGTGGTTTAATATGAAATAAAACTAATGTTTTCGAGCTTCACCTGAACTACCATTATCTTCACTTGACTTTTTTGTACAGAGAGTCTGAATTCTCTCTCATCTCTACTAGGACTCTGCTTATTTTATTCTCTTAATAGGACACAGTGGAATAACTCAAGATAGTATAGTAAAGAAAAACTCAAGTTCATAAATTCCAATAATGGAGCTGCTCAAAATATTCTTGTGGATAAAATTTATTTGCCTTTCTCRTGCATGGGAATTTACATACTCAGGCTCCTGTCAAAACAGAAATTGTTTTTTCTAGTACAAGTTAGTGTTGTTTTTTGTTGTTTGTTCCCCCC